AATTATATTTCTGCTCTTAAAAAAAGGTTGCCCAAGATAGTTTTGGTTTCTTTCTTGATCCCTAGTCGCCCTGAGTGGTCCTAGTCACCCCTGGTTGCCCCTGGTTGCCNGGGATACAGGGATACAGGGATACAGGGATACAGGGATACAGGGATACAGGGATACAGGGATACAGGGATACAGGGATACAGGGATACAGGGATACAGGGATACAGGGATACAGGGATACAGGGATACAGGGATACAGGGATACAGGGATACAGGGATACAGGGATACAGGGATACAGGGATACAGGGATACAGGGATACAGGGATACAGGGATACAGGGATACAGGGATACAGGGATACAGGGATACAGGGATACAGGGATAAAGGGATACAGGGATACATGGATACATAGATACACGGATAAAGGGATAAATGGATGCAGGGATACAGAGTACACGGATATGGGGATACAAATTGTATACTAGGCTTTCAGAGCGCTTCGCTCCCATCTTCTGTTGCAATTGTGAACATGTGCTCATTGTAACATTGAAAAATTTGAGGATTTTTAAGATTTAAATTTTTTTTACAAAGATAAAAACTTTCAAACACAAATTTTTTAATGTTTATCATTCATAAACCTTCCCTAGGATCACACGAGATCCCACAACAAATTTGGGCCCGATCGGTTCAGCTGTTTTGACGTTTATTGGATACAAACAAACAGACAGGCAAGCCATTTATACATAGATTGTATAAAGAATACATGTACAGGGATACAGGTACAAGAATACAGGGACACAGGGATACGGGGTTCAGGAATACAGGGGTTCAAGGATACAGGGGTACAAGGATAGTAGAATACATGGGTACAAAGGTATAAGAATACAGGGATACAATGGTTCAGGGATACAGGGATATAGGGTACATGAATATGGGGATACAAAGATATAGAATGTTGTATAAAGAATACAGGGGTACGTTCATGGATACAAGATACACGGATACATGAATACAGGGATACAGGGATACAGGGATACAGGGATACAGGGATACAGGGATACAGCAATACAAGAAAACAGGGATACAGGGATACAGGGATACAGAGATACAGAGATACAGAGATACAAGGATACAGGGAAACAGGAATACAGGGATACAGGGATACAAGAATACAAGAATACAAAGATACAGGGATACAGAGTAGATGGATACAGGGATACAAGGATACAGAGATACAGAGATACAGAGATACAAGGATACAGGGAAACAGGGATACAGGGATACAGGGATACAGGAATACAAGAATACAAAGAAATAGGAATACAGGGATACAGGGATACAAGAATACAAGAATACAAAGATACAGGGATACAGAGTAGATGGATACGGGGATACAAAGATATGGTATTTTGTATAAAGAATACAGGTACATGGATATATGTACAGGGTACAGTTAATCTATCTCTACACATGTTAACAGCGTGGTTTATGTTGAATGTACGTATTTAAAGGATCAACATGGATATATATAACGTAGTTAAGCTAACTCTACACATGTCTACAGCCGCACAGCGTTGTTTAAGTTGAATGTACATATTTAAAGTATTAACATGGATAGATATAACGTAGTTAAGCTATCTCTACACATGTTTACACCGTAGTTTAAGTTGAATGTACGTATTTAAAGGATTAACATGGATAGATATAACGTAGTTAAGCTATCTCTACACATGTTTACACCGTAGTTTAAGTTGAATGTACGTATTTAAAGGATTAATCTTATCACAATGCAGGTTTTAATCATATTACTTAGCTCATGTTTAATACAGAGCGTCCCATATCATATTAGATAATCTCTACAAAAAAGGACAAAAAATTATTTTTCATTGTGTCCATTTTCATTGCACTAAACCTTGTGAACGAAATTTGGTCAAACTTTAAAAAAAAATTGCGAATTGAAACCCAAATTAAATTAGAAATATATAGAAGACGACATTCGAAGTAACCTTATTAAAGTCAACGTCCCATGGTTGTCCCAGTTCCAAAATCTAAAACAGAAAGGTAGAGGGTCATTCTCAAAGGATGAGACAGCCTACCTAAACTCTTTAAATATGACGATTTTTCAAGATTAAATCAAGCCTAGCTTTTTAGATATATAAAAAAGAGAAACAAGTTTAAAGTTGCAGGGAACCACTAATATAAGGAAAAAGACGGTTTTAATTCCGTTAATTCGTCTCTGAAGTCTCATCCTTTGAGGTTAATGAGTAAGTAAAGGCCCACCACACTATATTTTCGTCCGTACCACAAATGACGTCACAACTCACCATTATTTCTTCCGACCAAACCTTTTTTCATCCGGGTGTTGCTTCTGTGTTTTCAAATGTAATTGTTTTGCCTTAAACCCCTTTTTTCAAATTTAGGCAACGTCATGTTATTTAACATGGGTTGATTTTGTTAAAAATGCAAATTGTTAAAAAAAAAATGATATTTTTAGCCCAATTTAGCAAAGAACTGAAAATATGTGTGTCTCCCTATTTTTCATCCGTACCCCACATTTCGCTGTTGTTTTCTTATTATACTCCTAAACTGCAACTATTAGGTAAAGGTGAGCTGGGATTATTATTATCTACAAAATAAAAATTAACATTTTTCAGTACGGAATATAGCAATTGGTTTTGATCTGCTTGAGGGATGCGGCGTGCCTTCCCTTACTCAGGTAGCCATGCATGTATTTCTATTTTTTAATAATGAAATGTTGAAGAGGCAGACGACTTTCATTTAATTATTATCAATTTACATTTTACTTAACAAGTGCATATGTTTTAGTTATTTTAAAAATTGCTAATAAATTCCTGCATCTATAAATGCTAACATATTTTCTATTAAAAATTGATAATCCTAACTTTTATGATAAGAATTTATTCTGAGAAGCAATTTCCCTACAAACACAAGACGTATATATTCATGAAGGAAAAAGGACTATATAGTGTTGAAAAAAAACGTATCGAAAAAGATGTCTTCTAAGCGTTTAAACCCCATTTTTTTCATTTTAAATTATTAAATAACGACGACATAAAATGTAAAAAAAATCTACAGTAAACTGATTAGTTGTTTAGGAACAGGTTGAGAAAATAAAAATTAATCTTATCATCGAAAATAAGTAATCTTGTTCAATTATTCGTTTCTATTTTCTCATTATTCTGGTTTCTCATTATTCACAAAGATTTTCTGCAGATTTTCTGGAATATTATTGAAAAGACGACCTTTGAATAATTTGAAGAAATCTGCGAATAAATTCAAAGAAAATAAGAAATGCAATATCATGATGAAAACGAAATAATTGATTCTAGCATTGATTTATCGACAAATTTCTTTTGAGAAATATGTTCCTAACCATCTAATTAGATTATACTGTATGATGTTTACTTTATTTTTTGTCGTCGTTATTTAATAATTAAAAAGAAAAATTTAATATGTCTCAAATGAATCCGAAAGAAATTTTCCACAACACTGCATACACAGTTCAACTACCTTACATAGCCGGTCACTCCCTTTAAACCTAGAAAAACGACAATATCTTCTACATTACTGAACAGATAAAGGTTTTAATGGTAGCGTTGTGAATCAGGCATTGTCCTGGAGGGTCACTTGAAATCACTCTTACAGTCTCCTTAATCTTATCTGTTTACATAGTAAAATATTTTAATTTATAACACTAAAGCATATTGCAGATTAAGATATGTATTTCATCTAAACTAAAATTTAACATCAGTAAGCTTTCTCTCTTAGTTCAAGTTTTATGAAGATTTCGGAAATTTCAACTTAAGTCTTAAGCTTGATCCCAACCTGGAAACTTCATAAACTATCTTCAATGTAATTTTTAATAAAACAACAAAGATTATAAATGTTTACTCTCTTCATCATTGGAGTACTATTGGAGACCCCCATGTACGGCTCGTTGGAGACCCCCAGATTTTAATCGGAGACCCCATATTTACATTGGAGACCCCCATATGTACATTGGAGACCCCCATATTTACATTGGAGACCCCCATATTTTCATTGGACACCCCCATATTTTCATTGGAGACCCCCATATTTTTTATTTGACACCCCCATATTTTCATTGGAGACCCCCATATTTTCATTGGACACCCCCATATTTTATTGAAAACGTAAATCTGGGGGTCTCCAATCTTAAAATGATGATGATTTTTTCCCAGACTTCTAATTTCGACCTATAATGAATGCGGAAATCATTCTAGATTTTTAAAGAAAATTTTAAAGACATTTCTGCTTCGACTTCTCCAAACTGAGAAACGAAAAAACTTTAAAAGTTATTCCCTTTGATAACTTTATGCAATGCGTACACTGACCGGGGGAGGATGGTCATAGTGGCTGGAAAAGTGGCGGCTACCGCGGCTCCCAGAACTAAAGGAATAGTGTGACTACCGCGGCTCCCAGAACTAAAGGAAAAGTGGTGGCTACCTAGAGATGTTAACATTTTCTTTTTTCTTGAAAAACGATTGTTTCGTTATAAAAAGGCGACGAAAAATCAAAAAAGTTCTTTTTTTTTTAAAATGGTCGTTTTTAAAACGATCGTTTTGAAAAATGATCGTATTTGAAAACGATCGTTTTTGAAAACGATTGTTTTTATAAAACTCGTCGTTTCGTTAACGATTGTTAACGACGACCCTTCGTTAACCATCGTTAAAGAAGAGAGGAAACCGACCTGAAGGGCATCTGTACTTATCATTGAGTAGTTTTTAAGAAAATATCAAGAAGTTTTAGATCCCCCACAACTCTTTCACTTCGTTAACGATCATTAACATAATTGTCATACATTTTTTTTTCAAAAAACGATAGTTTTTTTTTTAAAAGCGATCGTTTTTTGAAAAAAACAATCGTATAAAAAAGGTCCCAAATCGTTTTCATAAAAACGATCGTTTTCAAAAACGATAGTTATTCGTTTTCTAAAAGTTTAAAACGAGTAGTTGGTTTTTTAAAACGATCGTTTTTTTCCGAAAACGAAAAGATCGTTCTTAAAAACGATTGAAAAACGATTAACAACCCTATGGCTACCGCGGCTCCCAGAACTAAAGGAAAAGTGGTGGCTTCCGGGGCTCCCAGAACTAAAGCAAAAGTGGTGGCTACCGCGGCTCCCAGAACTTAAGGAAAAACGACGCCCCTGTCTATATGTTTCTGCGTTACAAATGATGTACAGTTTACAATATTATATCAATTATAATTATGAACAAGACAACATATTCTCTCATTAAAATTTGATTAGTATTGAAGGTGGGATGCACAAAACATGAAAAGAACAAATATGTTTGTGCGCACATGCGCGCCAGTGCTAAGCTTGCTAACCAAATGCTGGGGCTGTCCGCACTTCACTGTCACTGAAAAAGTAATAATAATTTCAGATAAATTCGGATTCATTTTTCAAAGAAAATTAAATGTAATGGAAATTTGAATTTTTTTACAATTTGCTTGATTTTTAGAAGAAAAATTCGATTTTTAAAATAACTCGGGGTTTAGCAAATATTTGAAAATCTAGTTTTCTTTGAAAAATTGATTTAACTAATGCAGCAAACTTAATTTTTTTTTTTTTTAAATATTTTAGAGGCATGTAAACAATATTTTTAGATCCTTTATTTACTTGTATTGTTGTGAGTTTTCAGTTTGGGCATAAATACATTCCAGAAAGCACAGGCATCTGCATGAGGACCATTTCCGGTTCCTGACACAAGAAAAAAATCAAAAATCAAATAATAAAAGGGGCTGTAAGCTTATTTGATGTGACCCTCTTTCGTTCACAATTTTTCTATAAACATAATTATTTAGCCTTTTTCATTAAATACTTTTTTGCCGGAAATACATTTTAAATGAAAATTCAAAAACAAACAAAACGTAAGTTCAAAGATTGTTTGATTATAGACCAAAGCGGCGCGTAAGATTTCAAATAGAAGAAACCGAATGCCTCTAACTCTGGAATAGTCCAGGGTGAGTTCCAAGCAAAGAAAGCAATGCCCGACTCAAAACTGTACCCTTGAAACCTTTATTTAATCAGAAACATGGAAGGTTCTTAAAAGTTTTTAATTCTCATAAATCCTACATATTTTTTGCAGTAAATGTGCATTTCACTTTTGTGTAGAAACCAAAGTTGAAACTATTCAGTTTTCAGAACTTAAAGCACATCAATATTGAATTTTTCTACAATTAAGGAAAATCTATGGCTATCCGTTTTAAAACAGTCATTGCCATCTTTGCATCTTACAGCATTACGCGCGCACTATACGTCTCTTTAAGGATACATTTTCTATAGTAATATTTATTTGTGTGATGCTTTCCATGCCATCCTTTTTTCTCGCAATTCGTAAAATTTTCTTTGTTTTACTATCAACAATTTTGCAGCAATTTTCTGAAATTTCAACTCTGGACCCGGACTGTACTGCAAATTAGGCCAAATTCGTTTACTGTTAAGCACTGATTTGAAGATTAATCTCTTATTTCATGATAAGATGGATAGATGTTACGGCCGATGCAACTTCTTTTGGTTCTGAATTGTAAGCAAGCACATGACCCTGATTGGATGAGACGCCACTGGACAGATGAAACAACGGTGTTGGTGTACCTTTAATATTTGCATTCCATATATAGTACTGTGGTCTGTTCTTGTTATAAAGGGGCCAACTGTCACCTTTCTCGAACACAGGATTCCTATACGGAACAACTATAGAAGGAGCTGGTTTAATAATTGTTTACAACTATTAAACAGGGATGTTAAGCAAATTTTTTCATGTAAACTTTGCATAACGGATCATTATTTTACTTAATTGTCCCAAGGGACGTTAAGTAACTTAATGACCCTCTGTTACAGGAATCATGGTCGGTAATGTTGGTGAAAACTCAAAAGTCAAAAGGCGTTAAAAAAATTCCCCCCTCAGTAAGATTGGTAAAAAGTAGATGTTTTATGAATCTAGATAAATTCTACAGATTGAAAAAAGCCTATGGAGAAATGTTTAGCTGATAAAGATGACATATTTAAGCTATATCACTGCTACGACTTTGTGACCTTGTAGCTCCTCTAGTTTTAATATGAGAAGAAGAATTTAAGATTTTGTTTTAGAAATTAAAAACATTTTTGTTCTTCTCTAGAGCTTTTAAATAAGAGAAGTTATGCTTGGAACATTTAAGGTTTAATCTAATGTGAAATTAACATTAGTTCAACGTGAATTAACATTAGTTTAACGTGAATTCACATTAGTTTAACGTGGTTAAGGATAAAGCGACTACAATGTAGCATTGTATTTTTTCTTACCCGGTTTTAGCAAAATGTTCATAATGTTTAATTATTTTTCTAGATAAAGCCGTTTCATCCTCTGTGTACCTTCTATAACAGAAAATTGATATCAAATATTAAGATATAAAGAAAATAAAAAGAAGCAGAATCATAATTACACAATTGTTTTTAAGGTTTTTACTAGAATACCAGATTGGAATGATTGTTAATAAATAAATAATAAATAAAAAAGAAATTAAATTAAATTAAATTATTGAAACCTCTAAAAATATACCAAATAACTACTGATGCACTTGGTTGTAAACTACGAGTATTTACTTTAAAAATCTTCCCAATCAACTCAGAACCTAAAACCAAACTAAGAACATTCGCGTGTGTCTCCCAAGATACTCAATCAAAATTTGAGGCAAATATGTCACGGGGTTCCTGAGTTATGATCGGACATCCAAACAAACTAAACTCAGATTACAACTTAGATACTTACTTATTTAATTTAAGAGGGACCCCAAAAACATAATCAATTTCATCACCATGCAGTACACCCATCCAGTCACCCCAGGGGTTGGAGCTAGTTCTCTACCAAATATAATTCTTTTCAAACTTTATGTGCTTTTTTTACAGTGAAACAATTTTTCAATTATCCTATGTGAAAAAATGGAAAAAAGTTCTACCATTAACTAAATTGATGATTATATTTTATTTTACATTTGTTATTAACCTTCACACATTAGTCTAAGAATTAAGAAAAAAAGATTTTCTCGTATAATATATGCTTTCCCGTTGGAATGCCATATACTTTGGAGAAAAAAACTCAGCGGGAGCGGTTGAACGAGCGGTTGAGATCTAGCCTAGACTCTACGAAGTTCAGAATAAGAAATTAAGAAGAAATTTACAATTTGTTCAACCGCTAAATCGCACTTTTTCAACAAATGAAATATAATTTTTCATGAATAACGTTTTCATATTTTTTAGCAACTTTTTTGCTTTAACCGCTGGTTTTCAGATTTTTCAGCAACTTTTTTT